GTTGCGATGGGTAGCAGAGTAAACAACCAGGCTTTGTAGTACCAAAAGGGTGAGGTTGATGGGGGGCTCAAATGTTGGAAAAATTTTAGTTTCAGGTAATAGCTAATAAGCTTAGTAATCAATGCATGTAAAAAGCTATTGTTTCAGGAACTGAAGGTATGACCCATATTGACTCCAGGAGACCTTGAGCAGTTCCACCTTTGTGCTCCAGGAGGTTTCAAGCAACCAAGATGATATCTGAGCCATTGTGCTCCAAAGTGAGATGCCCACAGCTCAGGACACAGATAAAGATCACTGCCCAGGGCACAGATAAAGAATGCTGAGCTTTTATCTGCTTAACTTTTCCCCTGATTTCCAATCCCCTTACCTACACTTTCCTTCTCCTTAAAAAAAGCATAGGTTGAAAGTGGAATATAAGATGGTCTGTTAGGGTAAAAACCCACTGTCTTCTCAGATCACCAGCTATCTGAATAAAGCATCCATAAAGATTCAATCCCTGTCTCTGCTTATGGGTCTGGTAGGTGACAGGCAGCACAAATGTCGGCTTTTCTGTTTTCAGGGTAACTCCTGGCTTGCACAGGGAGATGTAGTTGACTTGCCTGAATAATTCCCCAGGCTGGCAGGGAACTGAAGCAGGGACTGTGCCTGGTCCCCATGATAACGAGAGTTGTTGAGCTATGAAATCTTTTTCCTGGGATCAGAGTGGGGAAGTGAACTTGTGATTAGGTCATTTGAGATACTCCTGCTTTGCCCCAAATATCAAGAAACACATAATTTGGGGCCTTAATTTTAGGCCTTATTCCACATGAAAAAAACACATTATTGACAGGAAAGTTAAAAAAAAAAAAAAGACCAGGCTACAGATAGCTAAGAATAGTGCTGGAAAAGTAAAATACTATAGCAGATACAAAATAGCTGTTTGAAAAGCTTTGTAGTGAAAAAAAGAAAGGCAGGTGATGGCAGGAAGAAAAACCTGGGGAAGAAAGCCTCCCTGCAGATTGTTACAGGAACAATAACAGCATGTCTTTCTTTACCTACTTACTCTGTCAGGAAGTGTGTGACATGCTTTCTGTGAGTTATATTTAAATTATCTATAAAACTGTGAAGTGGTCAGTATTGTTATGAGAAAATAGATACTAAAGGAGGGGTTGCAAGTATGTACTAAGGGAAACAGACTCTGAAATGGATATTTGCATTCAGTAATTTTATTGGGGAGAGCCATCTGCAGAGGACTGGGCAAAGGACTGGGCAGAGGACTGGGCAGAGGACTGGGCAGAGAAAGATGCTGAACTGCAATTAGTTTTAACAAAGACCTCAGATAATCCCAGAGGAAGCTCTGGAACTGGGATAGGCTTTCAGATAGTCCCAAATCAAGGCAAGGGTAAAACTTCTGCATCAAATAATCATTGCACTGTTGTCCGTGTCCATGGATCATGTATATAGTTCTTTGGCTAATCTTCTCACTTTCTTTCTTCCAGTCCTCCTTCTTCCCTCCCCTCTGACAGCTATCAGTCTGTTCCATGTGTTTCTATTTTGTTCATCGGTGTATTTTGTTCATTAGATTCCACATACAAGTGAGATCAACAGTGTGTTGATGGCCTGAGAGGGGGGAGGGGGAATGGGTAGAGGTGAGTAAATGGAGGAAAAGTGGGGACAACTATAATAGTATAAATAATAAAAAAAGAAAGGAAAAGAAAAAGCAATCATTGCAGACAGGCTGCCCCCAGAGAGGAGAGGTAACCTTGGATGAAGCTGCATCCTGCTGAGAGCATTCCTCAGAGAGGGACTCAAAGCTGCCAGCCACCAACATTCTCATCTACTGGAGAAATTGGAGCTGCATCCCTGACAGGGAGGTTCTGAATGCTGCTCCACAGAATCTTCTTCGAGGGATTACATAATTTGTTCAAGGTCACACAGTTAGTACTGTTTGGTGCCATACTCAAAGCCAGGTCTATCTGATTCCAAATCCACATTCTTTACCTTAATATTCTGCAAGTAACTTTACTACAATGCAACAGTGAGACAGAACTGTTCTCCTGGAAATGCATTTGCTAAGTGAATCTGCACTATAAACCCAATGGAAATACATTCCGAGTGGCATACACTTGAAATTATAGGCATACCTCATTTTATTGTGCTTTTCCTTATTGTGCCTTGCAGATATTGCCTTTTTGGTTTGTTTTTAACAAATCAAAGGTCTGTGGCAACCCTGCATCGAGCAAGTCTGTTGGTGCCATTTTTCAACAGGTTCAAATGGTTAGTGTTTTTTTTAGCAATACAGAGCTTTTTAATTAAGGTATGTACATTGTTTGTTTTTTTAGATATGATGTTATTGCACACTTACTAGACTGAAGTATAGTGTAAATATACCTTTTATGTGCACTTGGAAACAAAAAAATTGTGTGACTCACTTTATTTCAGTATTCACTTTATTGCAGACTCTAGAACAGGACCTGCAATATCTCTAACGTATGCCTCTATGTCATGTCCCTGGCCACTGCAGAACTTCCGATGTGACTACATTCATATCCTTAGTCAGAAGTGTTTATTGGAACACACAATGATGACATTAAACAATATCACAGGGAAATATATGTAGAAATTGGTGTCACTCTGAATGAAGAAAGAAAAATCAGGATGTGCCCTAGAGATCTTTGGGCAACAGATGGAGTCAATAGGCCATGAATATGTGATGAGGTCTGTCCATATCTAGCTGATAAGATTAATATTCAGCCTACCATTCACAGTAATAAGAAAAGCAGATATCAAGTGTGCTGATCAGTAACATAATAGATATGTAGGGGAGGGTGTGCATGCATGTCTGCCAGTTTGAGATCAACAGTGTTAGAATTAGAATTATAGCTATATTTGAATAACACACCTAGTCTTATCATGTGAGGTTGCCCAGTCAGCTCTAAAGAAGCAGTTCAACTCTGCTACTCTTTGTCTTGACTTAGTACCACCCTAAAGTAGGCAAAAAGAAAATCCTAACCCACCCCCAATCATCCTCATGTAAAATTAAGAAAGTTTTTTCATATCATAAATTCAAGTGCCAGCTTGAAAAGCATAAGAACAATCTCACCAACTAGAGTTTCAGGAAATTTGAACTTCTTTACACAAAGCATTCTCCTGTGGCTTTGGTGCTTTACTCACATTCCACTTTTGCCAATTATGTAACAAATGGACAGGAAAATCAGCTGGCTTTTCAAGATCAGGAAAACAAATCAAGGGGTTAGACCTACAACTTCCTTATTTCTAAAAATTGAGCTTCTACTGCTAGGCTGGAACTGTCCTGTGTACTCCATTCTGTTAAAATTCAAAAGTTATTGTAATGACTCCCTTGTGTATAACTTCTTGTACAACACTAACACAATCACATTTTGTTCATTTATCAGGTTTTTCTGCAAATTTATTAGAGTCGCAGTTTAATAGACATTACTTAGTCTTCTGATTCTAGTTGTTGAGTTCATTCATCCCTAGTGCTATGTGTTGATAAACTTTGTCTTTCAAAACCACAGAACTGAAGGCCAAATGCTGATCCTTGGTGAATTTTCCAAGACAAATACTCCCTTGGAAAGTCTCTTGTCAGCTAAATACCTGGTATAGTAGAATAGACTCTCCTAAGCTACTAGTTACCAAGACATTAAATCACAGGTCTTGGTTAAATGGGCTGTATGGTGACAATATGTTAGATGAGACTTCCTTAAACCAGTCTGGGAAACAATCACTAAAAACCCAGAAGGTGCAACTTTAATCCATCTAAAATCATTAAACTGATTATCAGCTACTTCAGTTTAAATTAATTGAACTTATGACTTGACCTAAGGTTCATTACCCACCCATTAATGTTTTGTTTTGTTTTGTAATAAGATCATAATAAATCTGTAATAGAATTTACTTTCATGGTAGGCAATCTTCAGATTTATTGACACCTCCATTAAACACCAGAAACCACACCTGATTCTTTTGTTCATTTTTGGGGTTTTTTTTCAATTACAGTTTATATTCAATATTATTCTGTAATAGTTTTAGATTTACAGCACTTTATAGAGTGGTCCCCCAATATTTCAACTATCCACCTGGCGCCATATATAGTTATTACAATACTATTGAGTATATTCCTTATGCTGTAATTTATATCTCTGTAACTATCAATTGTACTTCTCAATCCCCTCATCTTTTCACCCAGTCCCCCAAATTCCCTCCCCTGCCAACCCTTGGTCTACCTTACCAGATTCTTGAATTCTGAGTGATTTTCACACTTCACCTTGTATTTTATATGTTTTATCTACATCCCTAATGTAAAAAGAAAAAAAAAATCACTTGTCATTCATGTAATTATTTAACCTCAAATTATATTATCTTTTCTGCTTCATTTTGTGCTCCCACTTTAACAGACCAGAAGGCTCCACTCCCCATGGGGCAGAAGCAAATTGATCAGAGAATTAACATCTTACAGAAATATTCTTAAGACTTATCATTAAACAACTGAAGCCTTGATTTGCAGTGTTTTGTGAAATCTTTACATAGCCAACAGGAGATGTGGGGATAGACATTGCACATTTGCCTGTACTACTGCTTGATCTTGTCAAGTGATAGGTCTGGAATGGCTGGACTGACATTCCTAAAATATCACAATACCAAATGCTGGCCTCAGGATGCTAAACTCTGAGGTATGCCTGCCTCTGCTAGTGAAGGGTATATTTTACCTCCTTGGGAGTGTTATTGCTCATTTTAGAACAAATCCAGCAAAGCAGTCTCTTTTTCCTTGGCTAAATTTGGAATGTCTATGTAAGATCCAGAGGGGAGTTGTCTTGGAAGAGTCAGATGCAAGATCCATTGTATCATATTGGTAAGAGTTGTGAATCTACATTCCATATACCCCTTTGGGAAGAGGGGTAAGATAGAGGGGAGATGGTTTAAAAATAAATAAATAAAGGGAAAACGTTTCAGCCACTAAGATGATGAGAGCTTTGGCTTTGCAAGGAGAAGCGAAGGTCTCAGGGAGGTTGTGGTCCGCGCTGGTACAGCTGTATGATGCCAGCCTGGTGCAAGTCTTTCCACAGAGTGGCCTCAAGATGTAGATCATGGTTTATATAAAATATCAGTGGCTTCCTTTTTTTGTCAAAATAGTGGTCAGAAAATTTCTGGTAGTTTCCTGTGATAAATCCATAGGCACTAACCTGGTCACAGCTATGCAAAGCCGTCAGCAGGACGAGGGCCCCAGTACTAGGCATATATATGTCTTTGGCACCTTTGTTAATAAAGCTTGAATTCAAAAACCTCTCTGTCAGGTAGTGGATGAAATTTGGATGTAGTAGCTTGAATTTATCTGTGGGGGCATCTGGTCCAAAATAGGCCTGAGGCATGTCCCCTTTGTCTAGACCCTCGGGGACAGGCACACCCAAAATAGCTGATCGCAGCATCACATAGTCGCGGATGCTTGAAGGGATGAAGATATAGCGCACGTCTTGTCCTTTTGGCACAGAGAGGAAGCCCAGGTTCCTGTAGTTGACGAGGGAGTTCTTCATCGTGTTCACTGTGAAGCCGTAGAAGGAGGTCTTGGTGCCCACGTCCTTCTCGAAGCCTCTGATCACAGCACCATTGAGTCTGAAGACGTAGTCGTGGGCGTCGATGTGCCGGCCCTGGCGGGAGCCCCTCAAGATGCCCCCGTTGGCAACCACGGCACACCGAACGCAGGGCGGCCGGGGCTCCGGGGGCGCCGCGAACAGCTCCGCGCTCTCCGTGCGGTTCAGAAGGCGCAGGGTGGAGGCGATGGTTTGCTGGGAGAGGCCGCGCCAGCCGTAGGGGCCTCGGAGCTGGCTCAGGCCAGCCCAGAGCTCCGGGGTGAGGAGGCCGCCCCACAGTAGCACCGGGGTGGAGAGATCGAAGAGCTTCTGGAAGCGCGGGTGCTGCTGCAGAGCGACGGCCACAGGGCGCGTGCAGGCCCCGTGCATCAAGGGCTCCGAGCTCCGACTTCCCCAACCTCCGGAGAACCAGCACAAGAGGAACCCCGTGCTGGCGGCCGCGAGCGCGAGCGCGAGCAGCGGCCAGGGCCTGAGCAAGTACCTGCGGCCTACCGCGGGGCCCATGCTGGGGCACCCCGCAGGGGCCGGCCCGCCGCCGCCACTGCCCCCGCCGCCGCCACTGCCCCCGCCCCCGCCCCCGCCCCCGCCTGGCCCCGCCTACCCTCCGTCACAATCCAGTTTTTGCTTACTTTAGTGAGCAAGGTAAATACAGCAGAGAAAACAGAACCTCAGTGATGTTAATATTTGCCCCGTGTGTCAGGAGTTATTACCTCGCCCCATGTCTCTCTCTGGGATCCGTATTAATTTTCTTTCTCCAAACTTATGTACTCAGGGTGCCGCATAGCCATTTACTGGGAAAGTGATGCACACGCTTATTCTGTAATAATAATAATAATTATTATTATTCCTTCAGCCTTACCTAAATGTTAAAATCTATGCAAGAACATTTGCAAATTTTGCCTTTTTTCTATTACGGATTGACTTTGCTATTCCCCATTGTTGTTTACAAAGTGCAGATTTTAAAAAAGAAATGGAAATGTTGGAACTCCTTTGTATTTCTGATTAAATCTATTCCATATAAAAAGGCAATTGATTTGTATCTTATTTAGAAAATGTACAGATATGGGAAGAGATAGCATGCAGCAGTCTCCCACTTTAATAAATTATCCATATTAACAATTCAAAAATATTTTTCATATCTTATCTGCCTTAAGTAATATTTTAAATCATTTGTGAGAATCTTTGAGAAACTTAAACACGAAGAATAATTTTAATTTACTTTTTCTGTTGTTGAGTATATTGTTCACCACAACTTTTGAGAAAACAAAAGAACAGTAGATGAATATCTCCATCTAGAGCCTGTTTAGGAAAAATGTAATTGCTAAAAAGAAGTCATTCTGTATTCTAATGGGGGCTGCACTGCAACAACTCATCAATGTGTCAGGAGAAAACATCAAGGATGTGACTAACCTGTTTGGAACGGACACTGTGTGACCAGGTTTATATCCCCCAGGATGCTGGTTTAGTTTCTATTCATGTGTTCTGAGATTGCTGGGCACAAAGTAATCCAGAGCTTTATAGAGCAAATGAACCAAATGGAGCTCTAATGTCTCTCTGTGCCTGCCATCCCTGCATAGGCAGTAAATGAAGAATTTGGAGTTTGTGTGGTAAATTCCGTCATAAAAATAAGCAAAAGGTGAGTGGGAAAGAACAGAAGTGGCACGTAAGCCAGATGTGGCAGTTCAAGGAGAGTCTCCTGAATACACTGAATACACTGATGTAGGAATTAAAACATAAAAGGGTAATTTTCATGTTTAATGGTAATTTTATTTAATTTGTCTTGGTATGCATCTTTAAACTTTAGTTGTAAATATTCACAGTCAGCCTTATTCTATCTCTTCCTGCATCTTAACCTATCAACGATTCATTTCCTATTCCTTTTTCTAATTTTTACTTTTTTCCCCCATTTCTATTAGCACCTTTTCCTTGGCTTTTGACTCATTCTTCTTTTACTTGCTTGATTTGTCAGTCTTTTTTTGACATTGTTCACTACTCTTGTATCCCAGAAAATTTCTCTTCCCATGGTCCCCACAGCACTACACTATGACAGGTGCTGTTAATGTTCTATCCATAGTTCTTAAGAACTTGACATTTCCATGCATGATAGCCCAGACTCTCTACCACCAACACCAGATACTCCTTTGCCTGATGGGTCTCTGACAAATGGAACCTCCTCAATGATCATGTGACAGGCCAGCAGTGTCAGGGAATTGATGAGCCCTGAGGACCACGCCTAACCAATGACTAACAAAAATTGTTGTACAGGTGCTTTAGCTCCTTCACCCCAGAAGCAAGACAATTTTACAACACATATCTATACTTGATCTCAGAGGTCTACAGTGAAGTTAAGCGTCAATTGCTCACAACTGTAACTTGCTCCATAAAGCAAACTGTACTGGTTTTCTTCTCTTCCCTGTCTCACCTCTTCACTAATCTACTTATACTTCCTAGGATCATTCCAAATAAATTTCCTGAACTCAAAACTTGTCTTGGGGTTTTAACAAAGACAAAATTTTAATTCCCCAATTACTTTTTCGGATTTTTCTTTTCAGCAGTTTTTTCCTCTCACTGAGACTCTTTAAATATTGGGGATTCTCAAGGTTCTCAAGGTAGAGCTTATCTACATTCCTGTTTTCATTTACTGTCTATAGGTTGACTCTCATATCAATTTCTCTAGCTCTAGTATAACTTTAAATGATCTAACTTCACTAGGCTGTTTCTGTCTCATACAAAATTGTTAACTCTTTGAAGATCTGTCTATCATTTTTTATTTTACTTTAAAACTTTAAAATAGTATTTGATATGCCATGTATATTGAATAAATGATATTTGAATTGATTAGAAAAAGAAAGTACAGAAAAAAAAGTCAATTTATTTCGTACAGGCCAGTAATAGAATCATTCTGTGCCTATAAAGTGACAAAAGAAAATCTGCCTGGTCAATTCATATAAAATATTCAAATTTTTAAAGAAGAAAAAAATTCTACCTTTTTGGAGCACAATACCCTATATAGCCAGCTAACTAACTGAACTTCATGTTCTAACAGAATCTGTTGATAAATTCAATAATCTATTAAGGGCTGAGTATCAGTATTTAATATTTGTAGCTTTTATCCTTTCAGTTAATCAAATATTCAAAAACTACTTTGCTCAACTGAATCCAATTTGTCCAGTTTTTAGAAGATCTGTTAACCACTAGGAACTATATTTCTTTTGTTTAAAAAAAATGAGAGGGCCAGCAAGACCTCTTCTTTCCATTTAAAAAATGGAAAGCTGTCAGATAGAGTACCCAGATCTACTGTTGACAATAAACTGTTTGCTTAGTACCAATAAAGTATTTCATGAATAAAAACTAAGAATGTGTTCAAGAAATGTGGTCAAGGCACATTTTTGCTATGAATCCTTTAAAGATTCATCCTATAGAATAGCAGAATATTCGTGTTAATCACAACTTAAATTGACTGCCTATTCCATAGGTGAAGAAGCTGAGATCTAGAGATACAAAGTAACTTTTTCTAGACTGCGGCAGAAGCGGGTGCACTGAAACCAAGGCACCACCTCATGGTTTATATCCAGGCTTTCCCCCACCCCATTTGTATATTGCTTCAAAACTGCAATGTCAAAGAAATATTTAATGGCTTTGCAATTGCTTGAACTTATGGGGACAAAATTTGCTAGAATTAGTTAAAAAAAAAAATCAGACCTGGAAGAAAACCTAATGTTTATTAAGCACGACTGTTTTTCCTAATAAATATGTCCACTGTATAATATCTAAAAAGTAGTTTTCAATGACTTAGATTCCAGTGTAACATGCAAAAAGTTTGGGATCATCACTTCTATTTTTATAAGAAAAAAAAAAGCTGAACAAACTGAAAATCCACAACTCTTCTTAAATCCATCAGAGTACTAAAGTGACAGGGCATATCACTGACCTGAAAAGTGGAGAGACAGGCAAATACTGATAATCATAGCTTGCCAGGAGCAAAGGCTGCTGCTGGAGCCTGTTAGGAACACTTAAACGGTGATTACATAATTGCTAAAGATGAAGCATTGACTAACTTGAGGGATAAAAACTCTTGGGGCCCAACTATAAATTTTACCTCCAAGAGCTCCACAAAGTTCTCACTGTAAAGATCAGAGAAAAAAATCATTCATGTTCCTGACAGAGGAAGTGGGAAAGTAACAATTTTTAAATAAGCTCAGAATACTCCGTTCTTTTTAACAGCCCTCCGTCATCAAAGGAAACTACTTTACCAGAGCCTAACCAACTAGGGTTTACTAGAGCCTAACTGACCTGGAGGAAGGGATTTACCTAACTCCAGCCACTCTAGTGTTTGTGTCTCACCTAAGGGGAGATGGGTAAGCTGTGAAGCAGGGGACACAGGTTCATGAAAAGACTGAGACCTAATCATATACAGAAAAAATATTTCCCCTCCTCTATATCTTACAAGTACACCAATAGTTCTCCTGTCTTAACAAGAGATAGCTGAAAGAAGGGCAAGGATCAGATTCTATTTAAGAAGGAGCCTCTAGAGAAACCAAGGACAATAGGGAAAACAAAAACAAGAACACCTTAAAGGAAAGTGTAGCTGCTGACACCACAGCTAGAGCCAACAGTAAACACAGCTTTGCTCCTAGCCAGATAAGCATTCTCAAACAATTGGCCTAGTTCCATTTACCTAGTACATTATGTCTGACTTTCAACAGAGACTTACAAGGCATGCTAAGAAATAAAAATACAATCTGAAGAGACAAAGCATGAAAACTGGATTCAGATATGGCAGAGACTTTGGAATCATCAGACCAGGAATTTGAAATAACTATATTTAATATGCAAAATTGCTCTCATGGAAAAAGTGGATAATATACAAGGACAGATGGGTAATGCAAACAGAAAGATGGAAACTCTAAGAAAAAGTCAAAAGGAAATGCTAGAAATTAAAAACACTGCAACAGAAATGAAGAATGTGTTCAGTGGGCTCACCAGTAGACTAAATGACCAAGAAAAGAATGAGTAAGCTTGAATATATGTCAACAGAAACTTCCCAAACTAAATAGCAAAGAGAAAAAAGAATAAGGAGAATGGAACAAAGTAGCCGAGAACTGTGGGATAATTACAAATAAGGTGTAGTATTCAAGTAATGGGAATACCAGAAAAAATGACAGTTTAGAAGAAATAATAGCTACAGTTATAATAGATGAGAGTTTTTCAAAAATGATGACAAATACCAATTCACAGGTCCAGAAAGCTCAGAGATCAAGAAAAATAAATGCTACAAAATCTGTAACAGACATACTATATTCCAAATACATTAAAGAAAATCTTGAAGGAAACTGGGGCTGGGAGGGGAGGAAGCAACCATACCTATAAAAGAACGTAGGTCAGAATTTCAGTGGACTGTGAAACCATACCAGCAAGACGAGGGTGAAGTGAAACATTTAAAATACTGAAAGAAAGAAAAAAAACTATAATTCTGTATCCATTGAAATGACTCTTTAACAGTG